ATCACGGCCTTTGTACCCCTACATTTGCTTTCGCGGCAACATACTCCATAAGTAAAAATTCTGGAGTTTTTGTGAAAACCCAAAAGTTGAGGATGTTTTGGATTTTTGAAGTGTTGGGCTTCAAAATTTATAACTTTTATACAGAATTGTCTCACTTACAGAACCACTTATGGCTCTTGTAGTGGCTTTTGTACCCCTACATTTGCTTTTGCGGAAACATACTCCATACGTAAAAATTCTGGAGTTTTGGTGCAAACCCAAAAGTTGAACCTGAGTTATATTATTGGAGCATGGGGCCATCAAATTTTCAACTTTTATACAGAAATATATCACTTACAGAACCACTTATGGCTCTTGTAGTGGCTTTTGTACCCCTACATTTGCTTTTGCGGAAACACACTGGACAAGTAAAACTTCTAGAGTTTTTGTGCAAACCCAAAAGTTGAACCTGGGTTATATTATTGGAGCATGGGGCCATCAAATTTTCAACTTTTATCCAGAAATATATCACTTGCAGAACCACTTATGGCTCTTGTAGTGGCTTTTGTACCCCTATATTTGCAATGTTGTGAAAACACACTGGACAAGTAAAACTTCTAGAGTTTTTGTGCAAACCCAAAAGTTGAAGCTGTTTTGGATTTCTGTAAGATTGGGCTATAAATATGAACTATGGTGGACACCCACACACCACTCAAAGAACCACTTATAGCCTTATTAATGATTTTTTAGGTGCTTTTTTCCTGAACGGTGTATAAGGAATTTTTTTTTGTTTTTTGAGATAAAGCAAAAAAAAAAAACGCCTTTCTTATTTCACATAAACCTATGGAATAAACCAAAAATCTCAACTTTTTTTTTTTTGGTCCCCCCACCCATAATTGTGCCTATATACCTTTATAGCGGACCTCATACTCACTGCCACTAACCACACAACATCACAGTGAGAAGCTCAATATATCACAGGTTTAACTTTGCAAGTTCACTTAGTTATATTACTTATTGCAATCACTCACTCATACAAACTCACAAACAGTGTTGATATTGTATTCCAGGGTTTTCCGGTTCAGTACTATTTTGTGGTTTTGACTACACTACATGGGCAAGAATTCTGATAACTTTTTTGTTTATGGCTCAAATGCCTTGAAAGTTGGCTCATTTTTCCCGCCAATTATGGGGCTTTATATATTTTCTATGAAATTACATCCTTGGCATGTGTGGAAATCTCCATAGCCCCACATGTAATCCCCATCCAGCACACTGACTTGCAAGGACATAAGTGCTAGTAGGGGATTTGTCTGTGGTTCAAATGCCTCCATTATAGGCTCAAACTTTCAGGCAATGCTATACATTTCATAATATACCATCATAAAGCTTGTCTGACATGTCTGGGGATCTCTATAACCACGTATGTATTTACCAATCAGTACAATATTTACCAATCAGCACCTAATTTGCACATAACATTGCATATAAAATTTCAATGGGCATTACAAGTGTATTTATACAATGCTCTATTGCTCTCTATTGCTCTCGAGACTTGATTCTTTCTACTATGTGTCTCAACATCCACACATGCACCACTCTTTTTTTAGACCT